ATCTTGAACTCAGAGTCACTGAAGAGGTGAGAAGCTGATCTGGGCATACACAAGGGGGCACATATGTGTGGGCAACACATACCATCAGAGGTTCAGAGATCTTAACAAATTGAAAGCCATGTTGGGTTCGGGGAAGGACCAGCCAGAATGGAAAGAAAGAAAGAGATAGGAGCATAGGAGCTTAAATCAGAGGATAGATCCTAGGCCAGATGCTGGCAGACCATGAAACATACACTTGAATTCACCCAACAACATCTGTTGAGCCCTGCCAGGTGTACATCTAAACATACCTGGCAATGCCAGCCCAGCCAGAAGTCATGCCAGACTCCAGGAAGAGTCCACTTGCATTCTATTCAATGCCTCTCTCTCTCTCTCTCTCTCTCTCTCTCTCTCTCTCTCTCTGTGTGTGTGTGTGTGTGTGTGTGTGTGTGTGTGTGTGTGTGTGTGTGTCCCCTTCTATCTCTATCTCTCTGTCTCTCTTCTCTGGAGCATGCCTCTACCAGGGACAGGTCTCAGCAGTATAACAGGCTCTGCCAGTCCTTAGAGCTGGGAAGCCTTTTGAAATACGCCTGGCCCTGGGCCCATGGCCAGGTTCATAGAGAATGTGAGCCCAGAAGAGAGGCCGCTGCCCTAGGGCTGGCTCACAATCACCTATCACCAGCAAAGGTGACTAATGAGTGCTAGAACTAGCTCATGAATGCCCCCAGGCCTGGATTCCTCACCTATTAGCTGGAATTGCCAGGCTGCTATAACTGCCCAGGGCACAGCACAGGTTCAGGAGTAGCCCCAGGTTTAAGTCCTGACACAGAGGCCCTGCTGGAGTCACAACCAAATGTCAATGACAATGACTACCTATTGAGACTCATCTATAAAACAGGACTAACAATTCCTAACCCAGAAAGCTGCTATGAGAATAAAGACAACAGAAAAAGATCGATGTACGTGTTTAATACCAAATCAGTGATAAATGTTATTATTGTGTGTGTGAGTCCTGTGTGTTCATGTGTGATGCAGGCACACTGGTGCCATGCCATATGTGTGGCAATCAGAGGACAACCTTGGGTGTCCCTTGCCTTTCTCCTTTGAGATAAGGCTAGCTTCTGAGAATTATTCTATCTCTACCTCCCATCTCACCACAGCAACTCTGGAATTGCATATACAGATAGCTTTAGTGGTTTGTGGAAATGCAAACTCAGATAGGTCCTCAAGCTTCTGGGGCAAGCCACTGAGCCATCCCCTCAGCCTGTCTTATAGTTCTTTGGGTCAGGGTCTCCTATAGTCAGATCTGGGCTCAAATTCATTATGTAGCTGAGGCTGGCCTTGAACTCCTGATGTTCCTGCCTCTACTTCCTAAGTACTGGGATCATAGGTACACATTATATGCCCAGATTCCCAGAGATAACTATTACCATTACTGTTATTACAGCCACAGGAATGGAGGATTAGGCCTCCTGGGTCCTTCTTCATGCACTTCCCCATCTCTTCCCAGCCAAGACCTCCTCTACAGGGTTGCACATCTAGGTCCTGGAGGCTGTTAGTCCTTCTGAGTGCACCCTTCCCACATAGACCCCACCATCCCTGGACTCCAGGGCAGCAGACATGCAGTGTAACTTCACCTCTAGGCCTGGCTCATTCTTCTCTCCTTTCCCTGTGCTTGCCCAGAAACTGTAGCTCCATGCATCAAGAGTTCCAGTCCCTGTTGCCCCAGTGCTATCACCCCCAGGTCAGGACCTCTTCATAAGCAAATATTCCAGGTTTTCCCCCGAGAGGGTAATGCCAAAATTAGGAAGGGTACAGAGACGTCTTTCCCAGGACCACAGAGAAACTCAGAGGGTGGCTGGGAGCTGCCAGCTGGGAGAACTAGGCAGAACTCTGATGACTCCCTCTCCCCAACCAAGGCCTTCCCCTTTTGCTGGTGGATTTCTCTGCCACTCCTGCCCCAGGGTGTGCAGAAAGGGACAGCAATCAAAAGTCCCCACCCACTCAGAGGATAAGCTTCTGGGTGGTGACATCATCCTCCCTGCCCTCTTCCTTCTTTTCCAGCCCTATGACTCAGATTCACAGCTCAATAGCCCCCATGTGGTCATAATCTCAGAGGATTTAGGTTGTTTTCTGCACATAGCCCAACCCAGAAACATCCTGCTACAGGTCAGACACTCGCTCCACACTTTCTAGGATTCTCTCTGCAGATGTGGAATACCGACTCACAGATCTGGGGATCACACTGCATTCCAAACTGGGTGTTTCATCTTGGTGTCCAACCCAAATCCCACCGAAAAGCGTGAAGGTGTCCTCCTAGAGGTCAGCACTGGAGAAGGGTGACCCCTGCACAAAGCATCAGGTGTGGCCTCTCCAGAATAAGGATGCAGGCTCCCCGGAGGACTGTTGTGAAAGGCCACCACTTCTATAAGTGTTCTGAAGATAAACATTAAAGCATCCAGCCCAGCTGCCAGGCATCTGAGCATCTTGGACATTCAAGGATCCTATTCCCATCAGGTGCCTGGACAGAGCTTAAGAGGGACAGGAATGGAAAAGAAAACTGGGTCAAAAATCCCAATGTCCCTCTGACACTGAGGCTGGCATGAAACCAAGCTTCTTCCTTCACAAGATGCAGTGACTACCCTCTTGTAGCACAAGTCTGGAGTGCATGAGCAACGTTCTACAAACAGGAAGAAGCCAGGACTGCACAGAACTCTGTAGACCAGCTATGGGACCAATGAAATCATCACTGAGGCTACTCCATGCAAGGACAAATGCTCTCTCTTCACTGTCCCTTTGCCTCATGACACTTAGTGGCAAAACCAATGTTCACAGGGCTTAGCTAAAGTGATGATGTAATAAAAAGTCTTTCTTTTTGACACAAGTCTCAAGTATCCCAGAAGAGCTTCGAACTATGTAGCCTAGGATGACTTCTGAGCCTCTACCCCCATGCACTGAGATTACAGGCATGAGCCACAACAACCAGTTTATACATTGCTGGTTGCTGGAGATCAAACTCAGGTTTTATGCATGCTAAGCAAGCATTCTATACACGGAGCTATATCCCCAGTCACAGATGAAAATGTCAGTGACATCAGGACACTCTGTGTCAGCTAATTATGATGTATTTGTAACACGGGGAGGGGGAGGGATGGGACGACACAGGACACGACACACGATGACACATCCATGGGCCAAGAGTTAGTGCTAAAGCTTCAGAACTCCAGCTACCAGGAAAATGCATGCATCCAAAATATTCTCATTCCCAAGCAAATTGGAAATCTAGGCCACCACTCTATACCGCTTAGCTCCCCAGTCCTCCACGCTTGCCTATCATTCAATCAGCCCAGCCCATAAGACAGGTTTAGGTTTCAAGTACAGACTTCAAATTCACCTATTTGCAAGGAACACTGTTGCTCAGCAGCAGTCCTGGGGATTTCTGGGCAGTCAGAGGGGATGAGAAAGGAGGCTCAACTAAATAAATAACTCTCATACAGTTCAAACAACTTCATTAGTTTCTTAAACTGAAAAGTAGCCACTATACACACTTAAAAGAAAAGGACTTGAGCCTGGCATGGTGGTGCATGCCTTTATTCTAGCACTTGTGAGGCAGAGGCAGGTGGATTTCTGTGAGTCAAGGACAGCCAGGTGAAACCCTATCTTAAAAAAAAAAACAATTCAAAAGGCCTTGGGCTTTAATTTAATCAATACTTGTTTACAAATCGTCCACAGTCAATTTGATAGGAAATAGCTTTTCACAATTAAGTCAGTGGCCCCCAACACATACACAAAAACCCCAGCCGCATATATACAAACTTTTGATTTAATATTTGCTTAATATGCCCCTCCAGTGATAAGCTCTCGGGTCTGAGTCATCCATCATGCATTTATCATTAGAGCAGGTTTGGCTTAAAAATCAAACCTGCATTAAACTCCCAAATCTGCAATTGGTTGTTGCCTTGGCCCTAGTGAGGAAGGGCCCGGGGACCCTGATTCAATCTTCAATCCTCTGTGTCCCACTCTGGGCCTTCAGCTTCTCTCCACTCTCCTCCGGATCTCCTCTCCAACCATCTCCATTTAGCTAACACATCCCCAACTTTCCCTCATTCCATTTTGGGGGCACCTTTAAAGCTGTTGCCAGAGCCTGTTCCCTCCTGTTCTTCTGCAGCTTGTAGAAGTCCGACAGCCAACTAACTACACCTTCACCCTTCAGAACCAAGCACAGGGGACCACCTAACCTCGTGCTCCCCTCCCCCGCAGCTTCCCTTCTCAGAGTTGGCATTCATGGTGTTTTCCTCCTCTTGAAGTCCGGGGAATGCTTCCCTCCCAGCCTTGGCTAGCAGCTTCCTTAAGCTCCCAGACCATAAACCAACCCAGTGACCTACCTGCCTTCATGCCCACTCCATACCCAGGGCCCGAATAATCAGTCACCCACCCAGTCTTGGACTCCACAAGTCCCAGACTTGGGGAGTCTTCAGTTCCCACAAATCCCAACCCCAAGGAGGGAGCGGCCAGGCAGGGGTGCTCTTAGCTCCTCCGGGCCCTAGAGCCCTAGCGGTGTCCTCAGATCAGGGTGCTGGTGCCTTGTGGGAAAGGGCCGCGGGCTCCCAGCTCCATGCACCCGGCGCCTGAGCGCGCGCGGTCCAGGCGCGGCTGCACACAAAGGCAGCCCCAGCCCGCGCCGCCCCGCTCCACGCCACGCAAGCACTCACCGCACGGCGCCGACTCCCTGGACTCGGGGACGCGGCTGGGCGCAGCCCAGTCGCCACTACCGCCGCGGGGCCGGGGGACAGGAGTGCAAGGGGCGGGACAGTCGGAGGAGGAAGCTGCGGGTCCGGAAAGGCCACCCGGGTGCGCCCCAGAGCCTGAATTGGCCCCGCGGCGGAGATACGACTGCGAGGTCTGAGCCCGCCTGCTGGGCAGGGCCCGGGGCCTGGACCCGCCCCCGCCCCGGACCCCGGCTCGACCTTGGGGGGGGGAGACCCCGTACTCCAAGAAGGGGGAGGTGTTGAACTACTCACCGCCCATCCCCCTACACAGATCCTCACACTTTCAAGAGCCAAAGTTTCTTTTTCGGTGAGAGAGGACAGGTGACTGGCCACTGACCACTCCCATCCTCCAAGCTGCTGGCTCCAAGCCCTGTTGCAATCCAGCTGTCCCATCTCAGTCCTGGATTTCTCCCCAGACTAGCACCGCGGCTGGGAAAGGGTTAACTCGACAGTGAAGAATTCTAGAGTTGCTGGGAGCTCTCTATAAATACAGTGTTGTGGGCGCCTGAGCCAACCGCAGGGCGATTTCCACTGAGATGGTTTTCCTCTTTTTTCTTACACCCACGGACACCAGACCAACCCTGCCCCCCTCCCAGCCCCATGCCAGCTGTTGGCCAGTCCAGGTTTCAAAGGGAAGAGTAAGCCTGGCTGGCCCCCAAGTCCCTATCCACTCCCACCCCCTCGGACCAAGTCCTTAAAAGACTTCAGCCTGCTGCAAGAACAGGGCAGAGGGGCGTTTGAGCCAACATCACTACACCTGTGCTTGGATCTGTCCGTCATACAGACAGGAAACAGCAGCAGCGTAGAGGGTCTTGTGAGGACTCAAGTCTACGCAGAAAGCTTTCCCTGCTGGCCTCTATAGATCTTTCCAAGGGCCCCACCAGGTAGATATTATTTATTTTGCAGATGAAAAAAAAATTGAGACTTGAGGCATGAAGAGACTCTAACCTTGCACTGCCAGACTTACCACCAAGTGACAGCAGCTATCAGAGAGAGCTTCAGAAATATGCATGAATCTATGTGAGTCTCTGCTTGTGTCTGCTACTATTTTAAGCTCTTCACAATTTATCTCATTTAATCTTCAAAATTCAGCGAAGTGAATGCTGTTATTCTCTTTTTTACAGATAAGGAGATTCAGACACAAAGAGATGTTATAGTAACTTATCTGAGGACACCCACCTATTAAGGGAAGAGCCAAAATTATTCTATGTCTTGGAGTTTATGTGCTGAGGTCAAACATAGCTGTATCTATGCTTCTGAATACAAGTTTGGCATTTCAAAGGATGTGTGTGCATATTCCTGCCCATGTACCACAGCTCTCATGTGGAGGCCAGAGGATGTCTTTGGGTATCGGTCCCTCACTTTCACCTCGCTTAAGACAAGATGTCTTTGTTTTTCTGCTGTGTGCACCAGGCTAGCTGGCCCATGAGCTTCCCAACTCAGCCATGATAGGTGGAGAAGGAGCACTTTGTACTGAGGAGGCTTTTCTCACCCTTGCTCAAGAGCACCATCAAAGATCGAAGGAAATGATGAGCATTTGTCTCCATTCAAGGGGCTCTGGCATCCCCAGGGAAGGGAGACAGCTTGAACAAGGCATAGATGGTGCGTCTACAGGACCATTCAGCTGAGATTCAATCAGTTGGCCACAGACATAGAAAGCTAGGGTGACCATTCTAGCCCACAAGAGTTTCTTAGTTCAGAAGATTTTGACTTGGTATTACTGGGAGGTTGACACTGGGGGTGTTTCTGACAGAGTCCCACTTCAAGCAGAGGCATTCAGGATAGAGGGTGTTCTCCACACATTCTGTCTGGACAAGGGTCCTCCCACTCCCTGCCTCTGTTTCCTGGGCCAGCACTGTGGTGGTTTGAACAAGACTGGCCCCACTGATCATATGTTTGCATGTTTGGTGCCCAATTGGTGAAATTGGGAAGGACTGGGAGGTATGTCTTGTTGAAGGAGGTGTATCACTGGAAGTGGGCTTTGAGGTTTCAAAAGTTATTCCAGTTCTCTCTCTCTCTCTCTCTCTCCCTCCCTCCCTCCCTCCCTCCTGCTTGTGAATCAGATGTAAGCTCTTAACTACTACTCCAGTACATGCCTCCCTGCTGCCATACTTTCCTCCACGACCGATGGGGAAGTCCTTCTGTGTATATGTTGTCCTATTGGTTGGATAAATAAAGCACTGTTGGCCAATAGGGAAGCAAGATAGGTGGGACTAGGAGTCAAGGAGGATTCGGGGGAAATGTAGTCAAGAATAGAGTGATCCCAGGAGGAGAGGGCACAAGTCTGGCATTCTAGGTAAGATAAGACCTTATAAAAATATATATTAGTAATTATGGTTTAATAATTAAGTCAGAGCTGGCTGTTAAGAAACCATAGCAAACAGCCAACAGCTTCATAATTAATATAGTGTCTCGTGTGTTATTTGGAGGCTGAGACAGCGGCAGGACCCAGGCAGCAGGCGGGAAAGAATGCACGGTACAATGACAGTCATGGACTCTACTACCCTCTGGAACCATGAACCCCAAATTACATGCTTTCTTTTATGCATTGCCTTGACTATGGTGTCTCTTCACCACAATATAAAGGTAACTAAGACAAGCACAGAAACAGGTGATTCAAAAAAATTTCCAGTTTTGCCTCTAAGTTCCCAAGGAAGTCACAAACCAATCCTGAAAGACCCAGATTGAGACACACAGTCCTTCCCAAAAATTTCTACCTATACAGCCTGCAGGCTTCCCAGACTTAACAATACAAAAGCTATCACCTGTCCTTGAAACCTGTCCTCATTCCTTCTATAACCAAGAAGGACCTGAGACCCAAACCAGGACGCAATCTACACTGTTTTTACCTCCTTACAGCCAAAACCCAGACAGACATTATAGGATGTCCCCAAACATCTCCAAAAATCTGTCCCTCCTCTTCATACCTTATTCCCTGCTCACACTCTTCTGGGTCCCCAGTATTCCTCACTGGATTGCTGTGGGGTCTCTTCACTGATTCTCCTGACTTTACTTATCAATTCTCATTTGCCAGAGGTTTTTCTAAAATATAAATTCTCCTACAGTGTTCCTCTTCAACTAGCAACTGTTCCTCTGTTCCTATTTGTCCTTAGGCTGCTAATTGCCACCTAAGATTTATTCTCCTCTTCTTCCTTAGAACAGAGTACAGTTCTAAGTCAGGCTTGTGGATGTAGCTAAATTGACACAGTACTTGATTACTGTACATAGAATCTTGAGTTTAATCCCCTGCATTAGATAAAAAACAAATGCCAGACCAGGCAGTGGTGGCACACACCTTTAGTGTGGGAGGCAGAGGCAGGAGGATGTATGTGAGTTCAAGGCCAGCATAGTCTACAGAGCAATTGTCAGGACAGGATCCAAAGCTACACAGAAAAACCCTGTTTCAAAAAACCAAACCAAACAAATTCCAGCACTGGTAGGTGATAAGGATCAGAAATTCAAGGACATCCTATTATAGATAGCAAGTTTGATTCCCCTCCTGGACTACATGAGATTTGAAGAAAAAGAGGAGGGGGAGGAGGAAAGAAAAAAAGGGTTCTATACCTAGCTAAAAATGTTTTTTCTCAGACTCCCTTGCAGCTAGAAGTGAGCATGTGACCCAGTGTAGCCAATGAGATGAAAGTAGTAGGTTTGTATTTTGAGGGGGAAAGTTTCCAAACAATGGAAATAGGATTACCATAGAATCCAGCAATTCCACTTCTGAGTTATTCCCCCAAAGAATTTAAGATAGAGTCTCAAATCAATGCCTATATATTCATATTCACAACATGGTTCACAATTGCCAAAAGCAATTTCCACTGATGGTTAAATGGGCAAATTAAATGTCATTCCATACTATGAAACCACTCTTGTTACTTTTCTCAACTACTTTCTTTGAGAGCTTGAATGTCCTAGAAATGTCCCTATATCAAAGGTTTAGCCCCTACCTTGGCACTATTGAGAGGTGATGAAAACTTTTGAGATAGATCATGTGGGAGGCAAGGCTGTGAAAATGATAATGGGATTTCCTCCATGCACTTACCACCATGATATGCCGTACACCAGGGCTCAAAGGCAATGGTCCAATTGACTATGGACATAAACCTCCAAGACTATAAGCCAAAATTAACCATATATCCCAGGCTGGCCTCAAACTCCCAGTCCTCCTGCGTCAGCCTCCCAACTACATACACCAACACACCTGCCAAACTTTTTCTCTTTGTAAGTGTCTCACATGTTTCTTACGATAACAGAAGGGTAACACACCAAGGCGTATTATGAGTTAATACTGAAACTGAGAAATAGCTTCTCTTGGCATCATATGTCCTTCAAAAGGACAAATACCTTCCTTATCTATTTAAATTCACTTTAAAAATGGGTTCCTTTACCTAGCTTTAAAGCGAAGGTTATAAAGATGTTTCTGTCTCTTTAGAACACCTAAGCATCCCACCTTTGTTTGTCTGTTTGGTTGGTTGGCTGTTTTTTTTTTTTTTTTTTTTTTTTTTGAGACAGGGCCTCATATAACCCATGCTGGCCTCAAACTTACTATGTAGCCAAAGATGACTGCTAATTTCTGATCCTCCTGCATTTACTTCCTGAGTGCTAAGATCACAGGCATGTGCCAACATGCCCAGTTTTTTGTTGTTGTTGTTGTTGTTGTTGTTTTGGTTTTTACGAGACAGGGTTTCTCTGTATTGTTTTGGAGGCTATCGGTCCAGCCCGGCCTCGAACTCACAGAGATCCGCCTGCCTCTGCCTCCCGAGTGCTGGGATTAAAGGCGTGCGCCACCACCGCCCGGCGCCAACATGCCCAGTTTTATGCAGAGCTGGAGAGCAAATCTAGGGTTTTGTGCACGCTGAGCAAGCACTCTACTATTGAGCTACATCCCTACCTGGAAGTAGCCCATCTTAAAAAGTCTCAGTACTCAAAATCTATTTGTTTTATTTGCTTCTATAAGGATGAAAAATCAAGACTTGGCAATGCCAGAGCCCAAGGCACTGTCTGGGCATTTTCTAGAGAATCACTATGACACTTAGCCATAACTTGGCCCTGACCTCCAAGCTCAGCCTGGAGTTGTTTACATTTTCATGTTTACATCCTTGGAGTTTTGGCAAGGGTCACCACTCCAATCTGTCAGCTCAAGTAGGGCTCACAGGACTTCCTTTCAACATCCAACCCAGAGCAAGACAACCATAGTTCTCCAAATGACCAAGTCACTGCAGGTTCCTTCTTTCTGGCTTCCTATTTCTGGGACTTGAATCTTGGAATAGGCTTCAAGTGTCTAGATCCAAATGCTTCCAGCTGGAAGCAGCTGGAAGGCAAAATAGCAGAAGCAACCTCAGGAAAGAACTGGTCGCCCAGAGAAGATCATCATCACCTCAGTATAAACAACAAACTATAACCCAGCTCGTATAACTAACTGCTTCTGACTGGCTATCCCCTCTTCTTCCTTGTTCACCCTCTTCTATGTATGTCCTCCTTCCCCATC